TAAAAATATATATATATATATATATATATATATATATATATATATATATATATATACCTGTACTTCAACTAATCCTACATTCTTCCACGTCACTAAAGTAAAAATAAGTAAAATTAAGAAATAAAATAAATTGAAGTAGCGAATAAAGAAATAGGCAAGAAATATAATATATATAAAAATTAAAAAAGAGAAAAATAGATAAATGATAAGTACAAAATTAAATAAAATTTTAATTGTTTATTTTTAAAAATAAAATAAAAGTAAAATAAAAAGTAGAATAGAAGTAAAATAAAATAATATTATGACCGATCACTTCTACCTAACATCTTAAAATATGAAGTAATGACAGCAAACCTACCCTAGTTGAAACCACTATTTTAAAAAATATTTATATCAAATATATGATCATTGAAAAAGGACACACAAATAAATAATTAAAAAATCTCATAGAATGAAATTCTTAGAATCGCTTTAGCGATAGAGAGTTAAAATAATATATACAAAATTTTATTAAATATTATTATTATAATTCTGATACTAAAAAATAAATAAAATCCCAAAAGAGTTAATTAAAATGGGAGACATAATTCATTCTATTTTCCCTTTTTTTTTAATAAAGTATGTTATGAACATCGCATAATAAAATAAAACATAAAAGCACGGCATTATTATTTATCTTAACACATTTGTCATTGGAGAAGCTAGGACACCTTCATCAAAATTATTTCTATCGATTCATAACAAATACTATTTATTTCTAGTTATATTTAACACTTTGTACGAATATTAAATAAGGAATAAATATATTCAATATTTTTTTTTTGTAAAAACTGCATGTAATAAATTAGAATTTTTTTAAAAAATTCAATATTATTTCTATGTAAAATAAGTAAGAAAATCAATAAAAATTATTGTAGAAAGTTTTAATTAGATGTATATTTTACTCGCGTAATTGCAAGTTAAACGTGTTGTATATTTGACTCGTGTAATTGCAAGTTAAACGTGTTGTAATACTGACAATTTTAGTTTCAATAATTTTCTCTTTATTATTGAAATCTCTATATAAACTAAATTACATGAATTGGATAAAAAAAACTATAGGAATTTTATATTTCCATTTAATAGTAATATCTATATTATTTCCTATTTTAAATTTTGATACTATATAGGCTATAACTTATACATGAAGGAAAATTAAAAGACAAAATAACCGGTTATTTTATTTATTTATTTTAATTCTTATAGTTTTATTATATACAAAACTCAATTACTTTTATATTCTTTTTATCTTTTAATTAATACTCATATCTTTTAACAAATTAAATTGCACATTTTTAAAGAGTTTAAAATTAATTTATTTTATTAAATTAAGATAGGACACTTAAATTAGGAGTATTTTAATCTAAAAACAATTATTATATAACACAATATGAGTTGAATCTTATATAAATGAATAAATAATTGTTATGAGTAAAGTTTTATATATAGGAACAAAGGTAGTACTTTATTTTACATTTTAATCTTTATAATTTAAAATAAATAATTTTAATCTCTATACTTATCTTTTTCAATAAATTTTAGTTCATATAGTTTAATAGATTTTTTTGTCCTTATACTTTTAGTTTTTTTAATCCTTTTATTCTCTATCATTATTTTTTTTTTGTAACTTTGTCTATTTTGTGTCAATGTGACAAAGGTCTTTAATTTGTGAAGGTAAAAAATGGACCATGCGCATTGTAAGTGAAGATATAAAAGAGACACAAAACGTCGAAAGATCTAATTTAAAATAACTTCAATAATGTTTCAGTCTTGAAAACATTTTAAGGATAATTTAGCTGCTTTACCAAAGTCAAAACATTCAAAAATTTATTTTGTCTATCTTTGTCTTAGGGTTAGAGTTTTATACTTGATCGTTATAGCTTTACGAGTCTCAAGAATTTTGGAATTTTAGAGGATCTTTACCTATTATTGGATGTCCTATTTTGATGTGTGATCATAGTTATTAAAGATAAGGTTTTATGCTAGATTTTGATGTTGGGATTTTTCTATTTGATTTTGAAAATATGGCTTATTAGATTATGTAAACTTGATCAGATCCATCTCAATGTAACCCTAACAAAAAATATCTACTTGCTACTTGACATGACCCTCTCGAAAAATATCCAAGTGGGTACACCAAGATTTACATAATCTAAGAAGTTGAATTTCCAAGACCAGTTGAAATACTCTTGACATCAAATATTTGACATAAAATATTATCTTTAATAGTTACAATCACATATCAAAATATGATACTCAATAATGAGTAAAGATCCTATAAAATTCCAAAATTATCGGAACTCATAAAACCATAACGATAAAGTATAAAATCCTAACCCTACGACAAAGATAGGCAAAATATAGTTTTTAAATGCTCTACCTTTGGTTAAGCAACTAAATTATCCTTAGAATGTTTTCTAGACTACAATATTTTGAGCTCACCTTCCAATGTTAATGTTTTGATTGTAAGTTCCCCGATATCATTATAACCAGCATGTTCGAGGTATTATTAACTTTTGCGCTTGTTGGACCATCATAATTTTCATGACATTAGTACAAAACAGGCACAAAGTGTTAAAAGATTTAATTTAGAGTAACTATAACAAAATAAATTTGACATCAAACAATAAAAATGGTGTCTTAACCATGCGCGTTGCAAGTGAGAGTACAAAAGAGACATGTAACGTTAAAAAATATAATTTAGAGTAACTCCAACAAAATAAATTTGACATCGAACACAAAAAATAATTAATACCTCTCTCACATATACACAAAATAAATATTGCAAAAAAAAATATTAAAGATAGGAAAGAAAAAAATTAAAAAACTATAAGTATAAGGAAAAAAATCTATTTTAAATTATCAGAACTAAAAAGAGTTGAAAAAGAAAATATAGAAACTAAAAAGTCTATTTTTAAAATATAAAAACTAAAAAGTAAAGCAGGTGAATCTATATATATTAAAAAATATTTAGTTAAAATACTTTAGTTTTTATAATTTTATTTATTTTAATTTTTAATTTTCTATATTTTAAAATAGTTTTTATAATCCTTATACTTATTTTTTTTTCTAGTCCCTTAAAATATATCTTTTATTTCTATATTTATAATTTTTTAATCCTTGTTATTATTATTATTTTTAACAATGTCTTTTTCATGTTGAGGTAAGAGGTATCAAATTTGTTTTGTTATAATTATTCTAAATTAGATTTTTTTGATGTTTTTTTAATATAGTTATTTGTGATGTTCATTATTAAAATACTATTTTTTTACACTAATGAAATTAAGGACCTCATATCTTAAAATTAAAGACCTCATATCTTAAAATCCTAAACTAATCAAACACAAAACAAATAATATTAAAAAAATTTAAAAATAAAAACTAAAAGATTTAAAAACTATAAGTATAAAAGTTAAGAAAAAGAAATCTTAAAACTATATAGATTAAAAATAATTAAAAAAAGTAAATATAGAAATTTAAAAAATATTTTAAACTATAAAAATTAAAAAATAAAATAAGAAAAATTAAAAAATAGAAATTTTTTTTAACGAAAATATTTTATGCTAATAATAACTATTATCAAACTGTCTGGTTCACTTACTCCCAAGCATATACATTTGTCGATAAGATCTTATTTTAACTCAATTAAAGCTTTAGTATTTAAATTTTATGTAAAAAAATTAAGAAAAATAATCTCGTTATGCTGTAAATATATTTGACAGAGAAAAATATTAATATCAACATATTTTATAATCTACTTTTTTTATTTATTTTTAATTTGAACATATTTTCTAATCTTCTGGCTTCTCAAATCCGTTATATTCCTATAAAAAAAATGTTTCGAATAAAAATATTAAATTAACTACATAAAAAAAAAGAAATTACATAAAGTGGATCCATGATTGGCAACAATTAAAAGAACATGAAAAAAAGAAAAAAGAAAAAGAAGAAGCGCGTGGAATTGTGCTGGCTGGGTCGTCACTGTTGTCTGTTGAAGTCTCTCTTTGTTTCTCACACACGCAGAAATACAAGGAGCCAACCGACATCCTCAACCTTACATCTCATTCCCCTACGTTTCTTCCCTCTCTTTCTCTTCCTCTCTTCATTTTCTTCTCACAACCTTTCCCCCTTTTTTTCTTCCTTCAGAGAGAAAAATAAAAAAACAAAAGCAACCATAGCGATTAACCACTCCCCTTTCCCCTCTTCTTAGCTCACCCCAAGTTCAACCCCATTACCGCATTCAACAATGGACGAGTTCGGCGTTTTGACCGAAAGGTTCGGTCTCAAACCGCAAGGAAAATCCGCTCCAATGGCCAGGGCCTCACCCAAACGACCCACCCCAAACGTCGCCGTTTCCCAAACACGCCCCAATTCCTACGGATCCGCATCTCACCACGATTCCACCTTCGATTTCGATTACGGAGTCTTCAGCACCACCGGCACCGGCAACCAAACGCAGCGTTTCGACGACATCTTCGCCGGAACCGCCAAATCCAACGGCAATTCCTTCGACTACGATTCCATATTCTCCGGATCGAGTAAACCGGTTTCCACGCCATCATCTTACGTGGATGACATATTCGGCGGAATGCATGAGAAGAGTGTCGGCGTTGATGATCTTCTCGGTAAGGTTGGTGGGTTGAATACAAACGCCAAAACTCCAAACGTGAAAGCGCCTGGTTTTGATGATTTGATCCCTGGTTTTGGTGTTTCGAATAACGGGTAACGATACTTTCATTACTTTGGTCTCAATTCCTTCTAAATTTATTATTGCATTAAGTAATTAATACCTCGCTTGCAATGTTACTGTCTTTTTATGTGTCGATTGTTATATTCCATTTGTAGTGTTGCGATGAATAAGCCTGGTGTTACTCCAAACAAACCTGCTGCGGGGTCTAGCAGTGATCCCTTTTTAATATTTGAAACCGCTTCAAGCTCAGCGTCTTCAGAATCATTCCTGGACGCGTTGGAACAGATAACTAAGTCGAGTAGTTCTACAGTAGGGACAAAAGGTAGCACCCCATCACTGAAGTCTCCACCCAGGCCAGCGAGTAAAGGTTATTTCTAAATGCTTGAGCTTCAACACATTGATAGCAATATGCAATAGCCTCGTTTTTCTTATATGCAATTGGTTGAATGAGGTGGTTTTTGCTTTTTGCTGCAGTTACAGTTAGTAAGCCGAATGTATCATCAATAGATGAGCTTGAGGACTTTGCCATGGGTGGTGCGCGGACTAATGCTAGTGGTAGAAAGGCCAATGTTAATGCTGCTGAGACTAAACAAAACTCCGCGGCTAAGGTAAACAATGGTAGAAGAGTTCCAGCTGCGAAAATGAATCAATCGAATGATGTGGATGATCTTGAATCATTTTTCGGCATGGGCTTTCGATCAAGCAGTGTGCCGAAATCGAGGACTTCACCTATGGTAAATGTGGTTAATGGAATGAGCTCAAAGGATTTTGTGATGCTGCGTGACTATATTATTCAGTTCTTTTTTTGGCTGATGTGTTACTTAGGATCATATGTTCGATAACCAAATGAGCAACAAAGGGAAACCTGAGGTGTCACCAAAAGTACCATTTGGATCCCCAGCCAGCACGAAGAAATCTCCGGTGATGACATCTCTTGATGACTTGTCACTGATTTTTGGTGGTAAGTTTTTGTTAAATTTATTGGTTTCTATTATACTGAAGTGATTTTGTGGTCAATGTATAATTTGTCTTTTTGGTTGCAAAAGGTTCCCCGTCAGCTGAATTCCAGGAGATTGAAGGGGAAACTGAAGAAAGACGAAGAGCAAGATTAGGACGTCATCAGAGAACACAAGAGCGAGCGGTGTGTATTACTATCTTGTTTCTATTTCTGTTATTTAGGAAAGGATAGCTCTTCGATGCAAATTATAGGTCATATTTTTATAGCTTCTTAATATTTTTTTTTTGTGATATTGTAGTTTGTGAAATGGTTCCGTTGTCAGTATCTTTAGCTCGATGATCACTATAGTGACCCATTATATGAGATGTCTGCATATACTTATTTAAAAGCACATATCAAATCTTCCTAGTTCATTCTTGACATTAATTTTACAGGTTTTATTGAAATAAATTCTCATCGGATGGTTTTTTTACTTTTATGACTCATATTTTCAGTTAAAAGCAGTGGCTGATATGAATCAGCGTGACCTTCAAACTAAGATGGAGCAAGAAGAGAGGCAGGTAAGCATTTAAAATATATTTTTTAGATCATGATTTATTTCCCAGTATAATTGTTGTATAATCATCAGTAAGTCTTATGGTTTTATTTTATAAGTTTGTCAAATTTTCTTTGCATGACTTTTTATTTTAATTTTGCAGAAAATTGCTGATACTGTGGATGCTCAGATAAGGCGTTGGTCTGCTGGGAAGGAAGGCAATATGCGGGCATTGTTGTCAACATTACAATACGTATGCTCATTTATGATAATTACTATTAAATAATAATACTTCATTTCACTTTAGTGCTTTTCAGTGTTCCTCTTTGGCCCTGTAATCTGATTAGCATTCATAACAACTCTCTTTTAAGAGCTTGGTTATATTTAATAAAAACCAAGTGTGGCTTTGGGTGGCAAAACAGGTTTGGCTCTTTGAGCCAATCCGTTTAACACACTTTTTTAGGCAGGTCAGGACAATATTATTGACCCGCCAACCTGTTTTGGCCTGCCAAAATAGAGCTTTTTGCAGGGAGGGGCTGACCTGTCTATCCAATCGTTTATTCATTTATTTATTTAGGTAAAAAAAAAAGAAATTAGTGTAAGATTTCGAATTTCCTTCTATTTATTGTGTTTTGAACCCAATATTTGAAGGTAGGAGATAATTTTCTTTAATGGTTTTTTATAATTGTAGTTTCTTTTTTTTTTTAATTGTTTGGCGGGCCTGCCTTCCAATTCACCCCTCTTAACAGGGCCGATTACATTTTTTAGTCCATATTTTGAAAGTGGGTCAGCCCTCAGCCCACTTTTGGCAGGCTAGTGTCAGGGCTGGTCAAAACAGGTTGGGTTGGCTTATTTTGCCATCCCTAAGCTGGGAAACTTTAATACTCTTCTTTTCTTATCTTTTAAGAATGAATCTATTTGGCCATACTTGTTTGAACCTCCTCATAGTGTTCAAGGCTAATGAGTGGTTATGATTAAAGCTCACAAGATTGATTCCCTTTTGTATTATCCTCTTGACTCTAGCTATCTTTCTAGTGTCTTATAATCAAATCAACATGATGTGCAGCACATAGAGTCCAAAACAAATGTTGTCTCTTGGTTTTCAACAACTTATCTACAACCAAATTTCATCAACTTAAATGAGTAGCAACTTATAAGTAATGATTCAGAATCAAAATTGTTAAAATAAAACTACTTGGGAATAATATATTACTTCCTTTGTTAGTAACCATTTGCAGAACCTTGTGTTCTCCAACCTCATCAACTAGACTACCCAGCAGCTCAAATAACTTCTCCCCAGTCTTCACATAATCAGATGCATCAACACCCTTTACAAACATAGAATCATTAGACAATTCAAGGTTCTATTTTTCTTATTTGTTCACAAATCAGACATAATTAAACATTCAGAATATTCTCTTTCTATATCATGATTTTTAATAGTCCCTTTCTGTACTCCAGCTGCTTTATAAGGAGAAAAACTCTACACTTATGATAGCTAGGAACCTTTAGATGTGAGCCATAATTTCCAGTAGCATCATGCACTTGAAGTTTTTTGAGTGAACGACATTAAAAACAGTTTCATTCCTTCAAAAAGGAATCTCTCTGTCCTGAATTGTTCTTTTTCCTGCCTCCTTGTCACAAGCATCATTTCTGCTAGTTTAGCTCTTAGTCTTTTCTAATTTGGTAGTAGCTTTTATATTTTTGAACAATAATAAATCCATGGCTAGAGATTTTTGGCCTTTGGTAGTGGCAACAAGGTCACGTGATGTTGCAAGTCTTTTCTCACTTCAAATACGCTTCAACCTCTTCCTCCTCATCATTTTCTTTAGGCTCGATCAAATATGTCTCTTTTTTGGCTTTCTTCTTCAAGTAGGCTTCTTTGAGTGATATTTTCATTTCAGAAGGAGTCTTCTTAGGACCAACTATGTCTCACCTCATTCTCATTTTATGTCTCTTAGCTCAGGTAATAAATACCACCAATGGTGATTTTGCCACAAAAGTCACAAGTAAAAAACTAAAGACCTCTCTATTGTTGACCTTGTTATTGATGTCTTTTAAACTATTCCATTGCCAAGCTATATATCAAAGTTATTTTTGATGGGCTTTACCATTGCACCAAAACGAAAGTGATGCAAAGGCAGAGGCCATGCTAACTGGTGTTTAATGTGGCTGAGTGGATGAAGCCATTGCTGTTACAGCCTTTTTAGACTGAACAGAGAAGAAAGAAATAGAACAAGGTCAAAATGGTAGTGAGTAGGCCAGAACTGTGATAAAATCACTGGAAATTGGCCTGGAAAGAGATGGGTCTTCATTTGAGATGAAGACCACAGCAAGAAACTAGCAAAATCAGAGATAGGATGCCTGAATTGGGCAAAAAAGAGATTGGTCTTAATTAGAGATGAGGACTGCCACTAAAAACCAGCTAGATCAGAGACGGGACACAGAAAAGTGGTGGTAAACATCTGTGTGATGTAGTGCACCTCAGGAAAGGATGCTGGGGGAGTGGTTCTTTGCATGGCAGAGGCTAGGGTTCCACAATGGGGGCACACAAATGTGAGGGGAAAGGAGTCATGTTAAATGACCTTTCAGATTTTCTATTTTGTCCACTCCTCCCAAAAAAAGCTTTAAATGGCGTCTTTCAGGGGCCAAAGGGGGTTTATGCCCAACAACTAAGACAGCAGTTGCGAACTGCATGATATTTGCATGAAAGTGGCTGTGAATTGTGTCGCACCTGATGCAACAGCAAGGGGTGACAAGATGGGATTTCTGGGGAGCGGTGTCAGCGTATGACATGCTGTAATGGCACTATAGTGCCACTATTGTGCGCAATTGACTATTATGGGAAACACAAAGAAAATTGTATACCATATATAGATGAAATCATTTAGTTTTTTTTTTCTTCTTTCTTTTAAATCATTGCATAAAGCAACTCTTGTCGTATTAAATGTTTTGTTTATTTCTGTATGTGTTTAAATTGTTTGTAATTTTGTGTCAACCAACATGGGAACATGGTGGTCCAAATGGAATGACTGAAAGCTATGAAAAGTCCATACAGTCAAAATTTTGCCTATAAAGTAGCAGTTGGCATGCAGATATAACAGAACTGAACAAACTAATTTTGTTCATTTCTCCTTGATGGAACAAAATTGTACTTCTTGTGTAACTTCATGTTCAATTCTTTTGTATTTTTAAAATTAACCAACAAAAAACAGAACCTGTGTTCTGTCTCGTTGTAACCTACACTTCCTAAGTTTCTTTTGGTAAGAAGGACAGAAACTTAGGCTATTTGAAACTAAACACACAAGATATATAAAAACAAAACTTACATACAGTTCTATAGGTGTTATTTGTGTTGTTCTCCTATCAAAATTATCTTGGTGAAACTTCAATTCTGATTGGACAATAGCACAAACAACAACACCCTATTCACTGCGGTATTCAAGATCTATTTTAACAGGAAGATGATGGACTTTTCTTGTGTCTCTTTCGTTTTCTTTCAGTGTTAAAACAATATAATATAAAGTTAATAAATTAAACTTCTACTATTTTTCCCATCTTTCAACATTTTTTTGATTGCATGACTTTGTCTTACCATTGAGTTTATATGTAGGTTCTTTGGCCAGAATGTGGTTGGACGCCAGTGTCTCTGACGGATATGATTACTTCCACTGCAGTTAAAAAAGTGTACAGAAAAGCAAATTTATGTATTCACCCAGATAAAGTTCAACAGAAAGGTGCTTCTCTTGAACAGAAATACACAGCAGAGAAGGTTTTCGACATTCTTAAGGTACCTTGTTAAATAGTTATGAAGAAATAATATTCTTTACCTACAAGGCTATACCCTTTTATATCCATTCTCCTAATTGTGGATTGTGTCACAGCTATATTTTAATTTAGAAATACTTTTGAGATCTTCTCTATTGAATAAACTCTTTATTTAATAGAGAAGTTTTCAAAAATGTTTCTAACTCGTATCAAACAGACTCATATGTTCGTTTTTACTGCTCTAGAGAATTCAAGGCTTGATAATAGATATTTGTTTTGGTAAATTCTCATCCCTAACAAGAAATCCTGAAAACCAGACTTTTTTAAGAATTTAATTAGAATGTATTGATATTGTTATGTAATCATAGATGTTCATTTATTTACTTTTATAATAATTACTTTGAAGTCATATTTATGGTGATTTCTAATTGGCTGATAATATAAATAATAACCGTGTTACTTTATTCTTGTGATCTCAAAAACAGGAAGCTTGGAATAAGTTCAATGCGGAAGAGCTTTCTTAGATCCCTCTGCTTATGTCTTTGCAAAGTCAATGGATCTATTAGCACTTGCACGGTTTCGGTATCGGCCTGTTCGCTTGGCTAGCTGGTGCCTGATACATTTGTTTTTGTGCCGTTGAAGATAACTGCATAAATATTAGGTGGCATCATTTGGCTGCAGATTCTTTTCCCCAACGACGTTGAACGCTCTAATGTGAGTTATAACATATCTTTGTAAGTAATAATGTTGATTGATTCAGGTCAATGTACAAATTTTAAATGCTCATGCTTCCCTAAAATTCAGTCAAACCGCCCAAATTGCGATGACTAAGGTTTCATTAGATACCCTTGCAATTGCACGCATAATGTATTTTGTGGGAATGAGTGATAATTCAATTATATACTTGTAATTGTAACAGGCTTTTGTACGAATAGAGATGTTTCGATTGATTTTTTCATATGAATCAAGGATATTGTTTGATTTTGATTTCTTCCATATTTATATTTCATTTTCTGGCAACTGGCAAGTTGTCAAACAAGTGATTGAGGTTATTCTTTTTATGACCAAGTTGAAACTCATTCTCACGAGAATATCGATTAATGCCATTTGAGAATGGTCAAGTCTGTTATGTCTGGTGAGTAAAATTTTACTCTTTCAATTTATTTTAGAAATCAGATATCTTAATTGATTAAAATATTGTGATGTCATATGCAAGAGATACAAAACCATTTCTAACAATATTTTATATTTAATTTTGAGGTGCGGAAAATGTTTTGTACGTGTGGGACTTGGCCGAACGCGAAATGTACCCTTATCACAATGCAAATTAATTAACGTAATGTCAAACTATTTGGAACATTGATAATGAAGAGTGAGCACGTCTTTATTTTATTTTTTACTTTATTCGTTTTTGCTATAGTTCTTTCGGAAAGCTCTGCTAATTAACCATCAAAATAGAATTCATACGTAGGCACAGTGAGGGTGCTAGTTATAGGAATATTCTATTTTCATCTAATTATGAACACAAGATTATACCACGTTTGGTGCTATAACACGTTTTCATTATGAATTTCCCATGTTTTCTTTTTGTAATTTAAAACACAGGATTGTGCTACATTTGGAGCTGTAATTGATTTTCTTATTAAGCTTACCACGTTTTACACTTAGATATTAGCAAACACAAAAATAGTGAACACATTCCTTTTTGTTCATTTCATTCTTTTTGGGTCAGGGAGAGAGGAAACGAAAAAGGGAGTGAAAATGAATATAAGATATATATCTTCCACTGCTGCAACGTTTTAAAATTTAAACCCATTTGTTTCAGTGGGCCACTGTGATATGCTTGCAGAGTTGCAGTTCATTTTACCGATACCGAAAAAATTAAGACATGCAATTTTTAAAAAATAATAAAGAAGACAGTGTTAATTAATTATCAGTGAACAAAACAAGTCTCCAACATGTTAGGGTACGGTACTATCATGGCCCACAAATATTCATTGCATTCAGAGTTCGGTATCCAAAACAGTGAAGTATGTGATCAGAGATAGTGTACAAAGCTAGACAACGATTTGTCATACCGATTACTTCTACAGTTCTACTGCATATGTATTTAACTTGTGTGTTTCTTGCCGTTTAATAAGTGACTGGGGGCATGCATGCATGTGTAGCCACTGATATATCGTCCTCACTCGTCACTCTTGGTAAATTGGCTTCAAGAGAAAGGATCAAAGGGGGGCCACTTTTCAATTCCTTTTTCCATTTCTTTTGTGTAATATTCCTTCCATTGTTGTAGACTATAAATTATTATTGTTCTTGCCTCATGTATTTGATTTTTTTTAGTAATAAAAAATTATAAAGATGGTAACAAAATTTGGACTAAGGACATTGAGCGTACTATCTTAAGTTTCCATTATACATTATTAGCAGTTTTATGCATTCTTCCTCCCAAATAAACAACAAAACTTATACGTTAATGATTCTTTCTAGCTGTGGAATTCTTCATATTCAAGCTCATGCATAGATATTAATTAATAATAACACGTTACACGTACGTCTTCATTTGGCGAAGGAATTAAAAACATTTGTTTGACTTGTTTGAAATATTGACGAGTCTTTCAACAACGTGGCCCCCATTATATTTTCTTGGAACTTCGGTGAATTTCTCTGTCTTCCTGTAACATTTCCCCCCCTCACTCTATATCAGTTTTCCTAAATTGCCCGGCAAAGCAATAATGTGACCAAGCAAGCATTGATGCAACATGCATCTTCCATTCTATTATTATTAATGAGATAAAAATCTGTTTTTACTTTTTACTTTCCCAGCTAAAAAAAAGAAGGACCAAGTTAAATATTTTTATCAGTACGAATTAAATGTTTCTCTTAAAAGGACTAGAGTACCCAAAAAATTTCTGTGAAGAATTATATACATGTTTGTGCAAAATTTTATATAGACAGCTTCACAGTGACAGGAATTCCAGTTAAGCAATTACACATTGATGAATGAATGGGGAAACTGAGAGTCACAGGTGGTGGGGCTACAGAGTTTAATGCTTATCATCAGTCCCTTTATATTTAAATCACTGTCCCATGCAAGTTGCAAAATTAAGATCACTCATCATCACTTCTGTCGTACCAACTTTTATATCACTCCAGTATTGATTAAAGATTCATCACTTTCAACTTCATAACACACTCAAAGTGGTTCAAACTCTATGCTTCATAATGTTTTATGGCGGACAATACCATATCTTTTTTGGTTGTTCCAAAGTTCCATTTGTATGCAACTTATGTATCGATGGATTCAGAAATTTATGTTGCGGAGATAATATTTATATAAGAAAATAGTTAGACACTTTAAATGTTTTTATACGATCATTTAATTACAATTATTATTATGTATATTAAATTTATTAATTTTTTTATAATAATTATTTTAGAAATTATACTAATATCAAATTTTATGGTTAACCGTGTAAAATTTAATTTTATGCTAAAAGTAGAAGCTCTCTATATGTATATATGAATTTGTAAGGATATTATTTTTATTATGTATTGACTTTTTATATTATATTGTAAATTATGAAAGTAATTTATAATCATACGTGTATGTTACATTATTTTTTAAAAATGATTTAATTGAAAGAGTGGAAATTTGAGTATATCATTAAGTAAATTATCAAAAATTATAATGTGTTAGAATATTAAAATTATTAGTTACAGTGTCACAAAATAATCTCTCCAAAGAAACAAAATATATATGTTTTTATTTATATATGTGATTTGTGGAGAAATTATTAAATTATTCACTTTAAATAAGGGTGAAAATATATAAGATATGCTAGTTTAGACTTTTGTAATAGAATCTCTAAATAGGACATAAATTTAACTTTCAATAAACTTATAAACTTCACTCTTTATATAAGTCAACATGTTTAATCTTTAAAAAAAAATAATCAATGTATGATTTTAATACATTATAAAAATTTAATATTATAATAAGAAAGACTTATTTATTTTCATTTAAATAAGTTGACTGTCACCTAATAGATTTTTAAGTGACGTAGATTTGAATATTTAACTAAATATATTTTAATTAAAATGTTAACCTATATTTATTTTTTAAAAAACTAACCCATATATAGGCTAGGTCATAGCATTTGCCAATAATTTGACCTATTTCATCCATACTAATAAGTAGATTGAAAAATGATAGAAACTTTGAATGTATGTGTCGAAAATCATTCTGAATGATTAAAATAATAATTTAAATTATAAAATATTAAATTAAATAATTATTTTATAATAAATTTATTAAAAAAAATATTAATATTTTAATATTTGAAATGTGATTTAGAATACGATTTTAAAACGTATATCATTGCTGAACTAGATATGATAACGAGTAGGCTATTATAATATTTATCTTTATACTTGTGATGAAAAATATACCTATGCATGATCTTGTACTCTTGCGAATAATAACTTTAATTTTTATTTTTGTAAATCAATATACCGTACTTATACCTACTACCCTCACATTTCTCAAGTAAGTCTCGATAATAAATCTAAAATTCTAGGTAAAATTTATGTTCAATATTTAATTTAAGACAATTTATCATATTTTAATTATTTTTTCACCAACTAAAAATTATTAATCAAAGTTTTATAATAAGTATTTTTAACATTTGACCATCAATATATCAAAAGATAAATTCATTCTATCTATAATTTGACACAGTTAATATCAAATAAAATTCGTATAATTTTAATTAAAAACTATATTCTACGATAATAATAATTACAAGTATTGATAGTATTATTAATTTTTCACAAAAGAAAATAAATTTAAAGGAGATCATATTTTAACCAACTGAAAAAGGAGAAACAGAATATCTTTCAAATTTAAATAGGTGCATGTGCTTTTAAAATTTGTGTGGACAAATCCATTTTACTTATATGCATTCACTTCACTTCTTCCATTTTGCAGTTAGAGTAATGAAAACATAACATAACATTAGAAAGAAGTGCAACGCAAAGGGCTGCTAGGCCATAAACAAATAAGATGACCATCCTTGGCTTCATATGAACATAACCAAGAAATGAAATTTTGTCTCTGATATTGCAACAATCATAGTACAGTCCCATCAATAGTTGGTCTTGAAAGGCTTGTAAGTTTGAAGGTCAATGACGATCCCAGCAATAGATCCAGCTGCAGCTCCTATAGTGATCAAAAGGCAAGATATGTTAAGTATTTGGAGGCATATCCACTTTGTGCTCCACTTTGGTATTTTCTTTTGAACAATGTACATTTCCACTGGGAAATAAACAGTGAGTGGCCAAAATCCAAGAGCTCCAAGAAGCCCCCCTATGTCATTGAAGAATGGGAGGAGCATTGATATCACAGTGCTCACCACCACAAATATTGTCCTCCAAACCAATCGGAAGAGGTTCAGCTTGTAGGGTTGGTAACCAGGGAGAGGTATTTCAATTTCTTTGTTCACAAAAACACTATTTGGGAATCTACGTGCCACGTGTTTTTCAACGAAAGCAAAGAGGGGTTGGCAGTAAACTTGGTATGAACCAACAAGGTGGATCACTATGGCAGAATTAGCTATGTCAAGGAGCCAGAAAGGGTTGTAGAAGCCAAATCCAGTGAGAAGGTTTCCAGGACTTGAATCTCCGAAAGAAGCATAACCAAAGCAGCCACAAAGCATGTAGAAAATGGAGGTCACTGAAACACTGATGAAAGTAGCCTTTCTCATTGTTTTTGACTCTGATGGAGGGGATTTCACTGTGTCCTGTTTCATCACATTATACATACCCTTGTTAGTTCAGACCTAAGTTTTAAAATAATAAAATAAATTTGTTATAGACTTATATAGTCCAAGTCTCATATACCTGAATTTCTATAAGGATTAAGGAGTATGAATAGGCAAAGGCTATGTCACCAAGAGCTTGCATGGTCCTCCAAACTTTATCAATTTGTGTCACAGTACCAACGGTTATACCTGTTAGGCTTCCCCCAACTCTTCTGTTTTCTGTGACATGGTCAAATTTAGATCAGATTTCTGGTCAGTGTTTAAAGATAAACATATCATCATCATACACATGCGAATAGAATCATACCTATAACTTTTCCAACACCCAGTCCTAGGCCAATAGTGGAATATGTGAAGGACATGACAGCAGCTACAATGGAGAGCCACCATAATTGATCGAAGCCTGGAATTTGAGAGAAAATAATTTGCACAATACCAAATGAAATCATGTAGACATTGCTGTTCATATGACATGGATCTTTCCCTCCACTCTTGTGGAAACAATTAGATCTTTCGATTGCCCTGTTTGATACACAAGCCAAAAACAGTCCAATTATACTATTTTATTTTCCTTGGATTTCTCGGATATATAGTAGTTAAGACATTTCGATATCACTAGAATCATCTCAAACTTACATCATGCTAATGGAAGCCGCTATAGTGTAACCAATGGCTACTCCGAAAAGGTTAATATACTGTACTAGCCCACACATTTTGACCTTAAAGGCATTGCCACCTGAACAAAAGCAAGATTAAAGTCTGAAAGAGAATTTAAATGAGTGAGTTAGGTGGGTTCGTTTTACCAAAGTTAGAATGAATAGCATCCATGTAAGTGTAGTTTCTCTTGCCAGTGAGAGGATCACCAGTACGATAACAATCAGAGAGAAGAATGGAGGTGTAGTAAGTTATGGCAGAGAAGAGAACCATAACAAGAGGACCAGCAATCCATCCGAGCTGAGCTATGGCCCAAGCCAGAGACAGCACCCCAGATCCTATCACTGCAGTTATTATGTGTGCACTTGCAGTCCACACCGTCCCTGTGCATGTCAAACACACACAATGTGTATGTATGAGACAAAGAAACACAACAAAAAGAGCCTCTCTGAATATAAACTTATAAAAAAAAAAATTCTGTAGAAAAACTCGCAAAAGATCTTCTAAACTTGTATTCAAACAGAATAAAATAAATATCAAGCAAGCTTTTGATACCGTTTCTTTTGGGGCGACCATCATCGTCGAAACACTTGGAGCCTCCTTGTTGATGCATCTCAATAGAGACGTTAAATGTTTGGTGATGATACTTGTTGGCAACACCATCCTTGGACTCAACCATCTCTGTTATGACAGAGAAGAACAAGCCAAGTTAGGCTTTGGAGTAAATGTTAAGGTTGAAATGATGTGTGAAATACCAAAGTTTGTGCACAGTCACACTGCAGAGTATAATCAAGACTCGAACAGTATATAGAATGAAAGACTTAAAAGTTGTGGGAAAGAAAGATGGGTCATGGGTGGTTGGTTATTTATGAGGTAGTGAGTAGTGACATGTAAGAAAGCTTAACTCCAAATCCAATACTACCACTTTGCCCCCACAATCTTAGTGAGTTTGACAAACCTCTCAAGAGTTAGGAGGTTCAGGCAAAAATGGTGATCTTGGGAGTCAAAGAGGGTGTGTGCTTATGCCACGGAAACTCCTCTATGCAACGAAGAAAGATGGCATGGAAGTATATAACTGATGGGAGAGTAAGGGTACTGGTGTTGAAATAAAAATTTACTTTGCTTTTTGGGTAATGGGGGCAGAAAAAATCCACGTGATGCATTAAGCTCTAAGTGGTAAGACCAACAATTTCAGAGCAATTAATTGATAATCGAGTTTTTTAAACATGTTAGAGAAGATTTTGTTAAAAGAGACAAAATTCGTAATTTTTATACTTTTTTTGAAAAGAATTAAATTATGAACTATCTTTATCCTATAATGTAAGGAGTTTATGACACTACTACGTCCTATGTTGAGTTTTTTTGTTTGTTAAAAAGAAAAAATAGAACTCAAATATATGTAACATATAAAAATTGAACAGGTTGTTGGAATTGGAAAGCATGGAATAATTTTTAGTGACAGAGAGAGTTTCAAAGAGTGACAAGATGAAAACAACAAGAGTCAAGAGCACGCAATGTGTCTGTGTTAGCCTGTTGGGAGATTCTGATTCTGCAGTTAAACACTGCTTTGACTAGAATCCATCACTGCACCCTCTTTTTAAACAGGTAGTTTACTTTCTCATACATATTCAAGTTTCCTTAGCATTTCAATTTTTTGGTTACTTATTCTCTTATTGTTTAACTATCATTCTCAGCTAGCTAACAATAAGTTTCAAACACATGCCTTGGTAATTTGGTAACTAGTGGAAGATTTTTTCAATTTTCTTGTTAGAAGGCCTTAAAGTCAATCTAAACCAGTGAATCATCAATTCTGCAAGTTGGGAGTTTCAACTTTGACAGTCATATAAATTACTCATCTGACTGAATTTTCAATTTACCGATTTCTAAAACTATGATGGAGAGTGAAATAATTTATAAAGACAAGGAATCTTTTTGTTACATAATAATTATTAATTTAAAAAATTAAGTTTATTGCTTTCTAAACTTCTTTTCTTTCTAAAACTCAGTAACTTATATTTTTGTTCTTAGGTCAAATATTTTCGAATTCACCGTTTAATATTGAATTACATACATTATTTTTAAAAGTAACATACTCTTTCAATTAATGGCACATGTTATTTTTATCCATCCCTATATAACCCAATAGAGTTCTTATTCATTAAAGTAAAACAATCTTTAGTTAGACTCTTTTTTTTAACACACAATTTTTTTTTATAAATGAATGATAAAAAAAAAACTCTCAAATTTACCATTATTTTACTCTTTCTTCCTACTTTTTATAAAACTTATCAAATTCTTCGGGAACATCAACTTATCAAATTATTGATAATATTTGAATTTTTTTAAAAGATTTTTTTAGCTCCTTACTTTTTAAATGTTTTTTTTTCTTATGTTAAAATTTATTTGTTAATTTTCAATTTTAACTAGATTTAAATACTCTTTTTTCCCTATAATTTGATGAATTTTATCTTTTAATTCTTATAATTAAAAATGTTTCATTTTAAATTTTATGCATACTATTTTTATTTCTTTTTTACTTCTTAGTTTTATAAACCTTACCTTTTAGTCTTACTATCAATACACTTCATGGATAACAAATAACCAAATATAATATACATAAAGAATAAAGTAAAACATTTTTAATATAAAATAAAGTTCACAAGAACAACTATAAAATTTTAAAAATATTTAAACCTCTTAATTATTTTGTATAAGTGTATCTTTTTTCATTTGTCTCTCTCTATATTGTAGATGATCTTTTCATGTTAGAGAAATGTTATCAACATATTTTTTGTCACACATTTTTTAATACACTTCTGATTAGTTAAAATTTATTAAAAATCACAAAATTCTCTCTAATGATTTTATAATTGTTAATGAGTTTTAATTAATAAGATAGAGTGACGAGAGTAGTATGTTACTCCACTCCTCATGTTAAAATCAATGACGTTGTTAAAGAAGGTTTCTTCCACATGCCAAGAAGACAAATGGAACAGTAATTGCTAGCCAAGACTTAATTGGAAACAAATGAATTGAAGCTTCATTATTACCTTGGTGTCAGTGTCTTCTAGTTCTAGGCTTTCTTTCTTTCTTTCACTATGCCGTAGCAGCTCCACTAAAAATAAACAATGGGAAAAGAGCTATAATATGAAACAAGCTAGGGTTTTACTCAGTAGCTGTTTGCCTCGGTTGAATTAGTTCATGTGTGTCCACATTATATATAGCTGGCGGAACACACTTTCATTCCATGCACAATATATCATAATATATCTATCTCTTTAAAGGACCACCCTAGAACCAAAAATTATACCATTCTGTGTCTCTCATCCACCCATATTGAAACAGAATTAGGTTCTCTACTCAATAGCCAAAATGGCACACTAAGTATTTTGGTCTCTAATAAACTAATCCTAATAATTCTCCTCAATCACAAATGAATGAATACCCAAATCCTTTAAATGGGCAACAGGCAAGTTGCATCTCGATTATTCTTAGATTTTGTTGTCCCTCATAACATGGAAAAAGATAAAAGCTCATTCGCCGCATTCTCTTCAAAGGAATTGGATCCACTAAAGGTAAAAATTTCATGAATTTGCTAAGTATAAATTACTCATTAATTGTTAATTTTAAGCATTGCATGTTCATTAAAAAAAATTGCAAGAATTATTTATTTTTGTTTTCAATGTTTTACCATAAAAGAAATTATAATTTAGGGAAAATAGGTGATACATTTATGATGTAAAGTAAAAAAGTTATATCAACAATATGATACTTAGTTATATCAACAATGATACTTAGTTAATTGGCAAGTGTGTGAAGCATCAAACTCTTATATTTAAGGTAACTTTTGAACCTTTTAATTAAATTTTAGGGTTGATCTAATTGAATATTGAAAATAATATAAGATTATATACAAATTAAATAATTAAATAAAGATTTGTCGTTACTAACACTTCTTTTGGGAATAGGTAATTACGTGGAGAGAAGAGTTGAGTTATTGAGAAGCAATATGAATATCTTAGTTTTGACAATCCTTTTGGAATTAATGAAAATGAAAGAACAGTGTTAAATATATTATTTAGTCTCACGTTTTTGTTTACCTTTTTATATGAGGAGAGTTGAAAAAAACTTCATATTTTTATAATTATATCGTTCCCTTACTCTCTATCACATGACCACATAACAAATTGAAAATGACATTTTTGTAAGTTAATTTATGATACCATTTTAATTTTTATTTAATCTAATATTAACATATACAAAATTAATTTTCCCATTAATTCTCCTCTACTTTCCTCTTATTAAACAACTTTAATTTCTATTTTATTTCTTATTTGTCTTTTGTTCTTACCTTTTCTCTTCAATTTCATCCTCACTACCAAACATACCTTAAGGGTTTGTTTTACAAGAGAGAGAAAAAAATGATAAAAAATATAATGAACAAAAAATGAAAATGTGAATGAAAATAAATGAATAATAAAAATATTTAATTTAAAAATAAATAAATAAAAATAGTATGAAAATAATCAATAAACTCCACACTTTTTTTTCTATCTCTTTTTTTCATTTTTCTTTAATTAACCAAATACAACCATTTTTATATTTCTTATTTATTTTCTCTCTAATTCTATTTATTCTCTAGCCTTGTTTGTTTGTCGATCGATGTAGAAGTAGAATCATTCCGTAAGAAGTTATGCGTGGAATTAGCTAAACAAAGTCAATTTTGATTTTGATTGCAGTTACTAGTATGTATGGAGTAGGCACTAGCTATCTAAGTGCTAAGCCTAAGAAGTCAGTTTCGTATTCCCATTCCAAACTTTTCTCCACCCAAACAAAAACTCAACATCATAAAATTTCTATATATATTTTAAGGAGATTCCAACTTCCAGGAAAGCATTTTATAGTGAAATCTCTGCTCAGTGTTTAAGGAAGAACATCTGTTTAAATACTTATATATAGAACTAATAACTATTAATAAAAAGACACTATTATATGGTTTACTATTTTTATTTTTCAAGAACAAAAATTGCACTTGTATTAGTGTTTTTACTTTGGAGTAGTGTGGTATTTAGACATCTAAAGAGTGATAGGTTTGACTCAATGAAAGTGTGTATTAAAATATTTTTAAAATTTTTTTGATTCGATTCTGTAAAGGGAATTTCATTGAACTGGATCATTCTAATTTTTGAGACTCTGAAGTTCTCTCTATATAATTTAAAAAAAAAATTGAGAGAGACAATATTGCTCTCTTCACTGTGGTAAAAGGTGGGGCAATTTTCAAGTTTAAAAATGATGACTTTAAGATTTTTAAATTCAATCTCATTCTTGTCACAATTTATTGAGTTGGAAAAAACTTGTAGAAAAACTACCCTTATTATATATATATATATATATAAATGTACTTTTTGTAACGTAGTTTTGAGTTCTTGGAAGTCCGATTTGGGAAGCTGGTGAAATAGGACGACCTCGAGGATAGCTCCAGCAAAAACGCCTCTACGTAGGCCGCTTTTGTAATAGTTTAGCTTATTTTTCATTCCTTTGAATTCGTGTATTGAACTCATGAAAATGTTGTGTATACATCATTTTCTCACAATTTCGACAGTTCTTTTGTTTTTCGAACTTGTGTGTTTTGTGCTTGTGCGTTTTGCGCTTTTCCGGGGCTCAAATTTGGCTTTATGTGACTGATTTGTTCTTAGGCTCGAACTCAACCTTTAGAATGCTATAAATTGTACCAAGGTTCGAACTCGACCTTGGCTTTCGGGTGAAATAGACCGTGTTAGGGTTCAAACTCGACCTCGATCTGACGTAGGGTAACACTTATTAAGGTTTGAACTCGACCTTGAGCTGATGATACCGAGGTTCGAACTCGACCTTTGGTTGCTCATACCAAGATTCGAATTCGACCTCGGGTTTTGGTGTGATATGAATATCATCAAGGTTCGAACTCGACCTTGGTTGAGTCATACCGAGGTTCGAACTCGACCTCGAATTTTAGTATAATATGAATTCATCAAGGTTCGGACTCGACCTTGGGTTTTGGCGCAGCGTATTCAGGGTTCGTACTCGACCTTGACTAAAAGCGAGATAAATCGGACCAAGGTT